AAGGTCATTCATTATTAATACTATTAGTAATATCTTCGTTAAAGACTTTGATGGCGACAGCTCAAACATGAGAGGTTGAGCTTTATTAGCTCTGCCTTGCGGAAATTCCGGATACTATTATTTTACTTGAGGTATTATAGGAGAAATTACAGTAACTCGCGGTAGATTGTGTGAAGCGCACCGCAAAATAATGCGGTATCGCCCGCTCGTTTTGAATGGCTGCATCTGTACATTAAATACTGTACAAATTACAAATAAGGAAATCTAATGCATACTGTAAAATTGCTTATATTTTATCTAGCAATTTAGTCTGCTTCCGCTTCTCCAAGTTTCTCTTAATCTCTTTGCTCAGATGATGTACAGTCGTCACATAAAAAGAAAATCTATAAACACAGTTATAAAATAACACATAATATACAATGCTTATATAATGCAAAGCTATTTCACAATGATTTACTACAAATTTACTATAATTTTTTTTATGCTCTAGATATTTTAGAGGGGTGTTCACTTCATAGAACGCAAAGCTAGGGAATGCTTATGTCCAAAATCGCCAAAAGTTGTAAAAGCGGGGAGACATTAAACGTGGACCCCCTATACATGAATAAAGACCAAGTGCCTTTTCTAACAACATCATCAAACTTGAGGTGGATACAAGTATAACATTTCCTGGTTTACTCTTATGATCATGTTAATGATTATGCCATGTGAAGATAGTGAAGTACTTAGATACAGTACTAAGAAAAGCAAGTTCTTCTGTATTAAATATTTATGGATTTCTCCCTCTGATGCTTTATTGCAACTTACCTGGAGGAGTGCAATGAAAAGGAAAAAAGCGTTTGCTGCCCTTCTGAATTGCGAATACAGGAACCTTGGCAGGAATGTAAGAACATTGTACTTTGCAGTGCTGAAAAATAAAAGAAAAATAATTGGACTCAGGTAACAATAATAGGCTTCCTTCTATTAATATTTTTTCCAGGGAAGTGATTCAGGAATTTCATCCAGCTATTGCTTGAACAATGCCAGAGTATCATTTTTGACAAATGGCTATGTAGCTGTTTCCACACCCTCTTGCATAAAGAAGTAACACACATGTGCATAAAGAAATACAGTACCTCCTGTTCTTGGTTTTAAGTGCATTTCCACATAGTTTCCACTTTCTATAACCTCACATGAAAAGGAAGTCAGAACCATATGACTACCTGTATAACTACTTAGTTCAGTCTTGTCACCCTTCTTATGAATGGGCAGAATTTGTCACATTACCAGTTCACCCATATTTAAAGATGCAGCCATTCGAACTGCACCGTAAAAACCCGTACCGCAGGCATTTACGCGTGCGCCACCGCACCCTACCACGGTACGTGATTGGCTGGCCAAAATGACTGACATGGGTACTCGTGGTGCATTTGTCGGTAGTGCAAAGATTTAATAATTTAATCTCTTTACTGTGCACATTTTAATCCGCTTAGTATTGAATATTTATATGGAATTTTACCACTAAAGGGAAATTTTAGCAGCTGAGCATAAAAAGAATAGGAGCATAACACATCTGGAGGTGTATTAATTTAGGAACATAAACATATTATGTAAACTGTATATTGCTGGTCTTGGTATTCGTTTTTTTTTACACAGAAGCTTAAAACTCACAAAGTACTGTATACTGTATAAACGTACAGTAACATGGTCAGAAGGAGCAAGAAGGAGCAAGGAACACATAAAAATGTTTCTGAAATAACCACATGTAAGACTTTGATGCTTAAAATGTTTAGGGAGAAATGGAATACTGGTGTGTATTTTCTCTTTAAAATACCAAGACCTGCCATATACAGTACAGTTTACATACAGTAATATGTTTATGTTCCTAAATAAATATCTTTTATGAGGATGTGAAAGGCATGGTGAATCAGAGATTCTCAAGAATTACTTTGTTTGATTGGAAACAAATGCGTGATTGGATCAACGAAATGCTGTGGTGTTACTTTTTGTCAATGAAAAAATAAAGTATTTTCGTTTACAAAGACGGTTACAAAGAATGTGGACCAGGGTAATACTTTGAGTTTACAGCTTGTCCAAGGTCATTCATTATTGATACTATTAGTAATATCTCCGGTAAAGATTTCGATGGTGACAGCTCTAACGCTGTCCATGAGAGGTTGAGCTTTATTAGCTCCACCTGGCGGTAATTCCGGATACTATTATCTTACTTGCGGTATTATGCGGTATTATATGGTAACCCGCATTGTGACCCACCACGTTTTACCGCGGCATACCCCACTCGTTTTGAATGGCTGCATCTATAGGTACTATCCCCCATCTTGGGAGAATGCTACAACTGCAGATAAATTGGTGGATTTAGTACCTATTTATTCTCATGTTTGTTAAACATCATCAGATCATAAACATCTTAATCAGTATGTGCTATTAAAATGTATATACATAATTATGAAGAGCAGTGTTCTGTACACAGTCAGCATTGTGGTGCAGTGGCTAGCATTGCTGTCTTGTAAACCCTTGGTTTAATCCCTGACCTGTGGTGCTATCTGTTTGTTCATATGGGTTTTCTTTGAGTGTATGGTTTTCTGTGTTTGCATGGATTTCCTCTAACAGTCATGTTGGTAGGATAATTAGGTTCTGGAAAAATTGGCACTGGTGTGAATGTCTGTGTGTCTGCCCTGGCAGGACTGGCATTCCTTTCAGGGTATATCCTGCCTTGCACCCGTTGCTTTTAATTGCCAGGATACGATCCAGCTTCAACGTGACCTTGAAGTTGTTGTAAAAGTGGGGAATTGGATGAACTGGATGAAGTGCTTAGAAGCAGGTGAAAGCCCTGGATGGGAGACCATTCTGGGAAGTTTACTGTCACTGTTTATATAAAATTGTACATTTCTGTTGCTTTCAGTAATAACATTTGCTGCCATAAGTTTATCTATCGATTAGGTTATCAGCTTAATTTTTCCCGTTCTAAATATTATTGGTCAGTTTCATTAACTTGACAGAAATTCTATTGCATATGATTACCATTCATAACGAGTCATGTTAGAGATAAGTTTTTCAAAAAGAAAAACTGTTTATTTTTCTTAACTTAATATGCATAACAGAAATGAATTCCATTTGCCAATGCTTTTCTAATAAACATTAAATTGAAATTTTACACATAATTTGCTATTTGTACACACATTTTAAAAGAGATACTTTGCTGGAAACAAAAACAGCCTAAAATATGTGCAGGACATATGCGTAGTGTATTTTTACAGTTACAGCTGACATTGCATTTAACAGCAAGGAAATTACAAAGAAACAGACAAAAAAAATATATACTGATGGAACTAAATGAAATGCAATATTTTCTGTAATGAGAATACTATAGTTATAGCTTATGTACTTTTACAAAAAGTTGTCAATTTGTTTTAAGCTCTATGACCAGTAATACAGCTTGTGCAGTGAGGCATTGCAATTTGACAATCACACGAAAGCTCATTAGTTACACTTTTAACCAAAGAGGTCCCGGTGGAACAATGCCTGATCAGGTCACCTTCAAAAAGGCCTTAATTCAAAGCTTAGGTCACTGCAAAAAAAAGCCAAAATTAGTCAGTTTTCTGTGCATTGCATGATGCCTTGAATGTCACCAGAAGCAAGGGAGAGAGCCATTGGTGTGCTGCAGACGGGCATGTCATGTGCCAGTGTTGCCAGACACTATGGAGTAAGCTGCTCCACTGTGTCTCAACTGCAGATGACTGTCCAAGATCCGGTCGCCCTCGAGTGACCACACCAGAGCAGGACCGACACAGACTGGTCCATCTGAGAGATCGTTTCAGATCTGCCACCCGTACTGCTGCTGAAACTGCCAGCACACACAATGCCCGCATCCATGACAGGACAGTGAAGCTCCATGCCTCATGCTCACACCTCCTAGAGGTCACACCAAACTGGTTTGGCTGCAATGGAGTCGTCAGCAATGGCATCAGGTCCTCTTCATGAATGAGTCACTCTTCAGTCTTTTCCATGCAGACGGGAGGGCCAGAGTGTGGAGGAGGAGTTGCGTTTCTTTTTTCCATCAGTATATTTAACACCAAGTCCAAAGTGAGCCATAAGAGTAGTAAGACATACGGAAGCAGCCATGTAGAACGTTTGTCAAAACTTGCATCCATGGTTGGCAAGTTGCAGTGTAACACAGTGTGATTCATCATGCAAAATTTAGAACTGCCCAAAAAAGATTAATACAGATGCAGCCATTCAAAGTGCGCGGTACATTGGCTACATCCTCGCACATCGTGACGCGCAATACGTGACGCGGTACATGATTGGTTGACCGACAGGGGCACTCATGTGTCGGTTGTGGAAAGATTTAAATGTTTTTATTGTGCCTGTATTGAATATTTATATGGAATTTTACCACTGAAGGGAAATCTTAGTAACTGAGCATAAAAAGAATAGGAGCATATCGCGTGTGAAGGCCATAGACTATATTAATTTTGGAACATAAACATACAGTATTACAGTATGTAAACTATATATGGCTGGTCTCGGTACTTTAAAGAAAAAATACACACCAGTATTCCATTTCTCCCTAAACATTTTAAGCATCGAAGTCTTTGACATGTGAAATAGCGTGTACAAAAAGTGGTAGTTTTAAGCTTTTCTGATAATATAATATGGAATTTGTGTATCTAAAGAAATTAATAACTATATAATTATATTCATATACTGCAACACAGTAATACAATATAGTCACTTGTTGCTACGCAACGCAGACACACAGCCACAGGTAACTCGCAAAGAGAGGATATTAGCTAGACAATATGATAAAGGAATAAATGATTTTTTAATTTCTTTTGCACATTTATTTGAACATTTCCATCGATTGTACAAGCACTTGGAAACTGTCCAATCCCTAGTTTGTCCTCATTTTTTATGCTCCAGGCATTCACCCGGTCTGGCGCCGGTCTGTATCTTCTAGGATATAATGCCGGCGATATGTGTTAAAATTGGGTTTCCAATAACGTCACAGCAAACTCTTGTTTTTATGTCCACCATAACGGACAATCTCCCTTGCTTTTAACCAAGCGTTTCATAATTTCCATAATTCTGGGATGTTCCTATACCAGATATTACGGTTGGCTTCAGAATGGTGATTGGCTGACACCATCTGACACCCCTCTGATTGGAGATAAAAAAAACTTGCTGATCTGTTCTACATAGCAGGAAGAAAACAGCATATGCTGCTTCTATTCGAAACGTGTATTTTAAAAGTTTAATTAGGAAGTAAAACCTTACAGCGTACACAGATTTCTAAACTGATCAGGAGGAAGAAAAATCACCCGTGTTTCACGCATAAAAAGTGGTTATTAACTATCGAAACCTGATTTATTTATTTTATTTTTATTTAGATTAAGAGTTCCTGTCATCCCCATTTCCATTTAAATCGCAAACCCGTGTTTAATTACATATTTTTATTGATTCACAATCTGGCAATGCAAGTAAATCATTATCTTTGTCTTCTGCATAATAATGTTCACCTCTCTGTCCAGCAAATTAATAATAAACTTTATTTTCGTCATCTCCGCCTTAATGGTAACCCCGTCACGGATTGTATTTCATTGCACTTTGACAGATTGTCTTTAAATCAATTGTTGTCAGAATATCCCCAACTCCAAACAAGAACACAATTGCAACGATTTTATTAACTGGCTGTTTCAGTAACTTAAAGTATATATTTAAAGTAATCATTTAACAATATATGTAAATTTTTTAAGATATGTTTATGTTGTGAATGTCTGTAGATTGTATCTTATTTTTAGTTTTTGTTTTGTTTCACATTAATTTTATAAGCGAATCTTGATTAAAATACTTTTATTTTTTCACAATCTGGCAATGCCAGACAGAATTCACATTCGCTGCAGCCAAATGGCCTTGCAGATCAGAAAATCAAGGAACAAAACAATTTTTTGTATCGCTTTAACGTGCTAATGCGTTGGTGTAACACTCTGTGTCTACAGTACATTGTAAACAAACCGGTTTCACAGGTATTTTCAACCCCCAGCCACTGTTGTTTCATCGGTTGTTATCCTGTAAAGTGTTTTGAGGAGCCACCTTTAAATACCAATAGGGTTTATCAGTGAAAAGACTACGGGCATTCTTCCTCCCCCCTACATTCTCAGAGTAGAATAGAATTTATTATTAGCACAATTAATTACAGTGCTAAATTTAATATTATTGATTACTAATAGTTTATGCTTACACCTAGCTTTCTTAACGCGAGAAGTACTACCGTAAGAACTGTACAGTAAGTACTTACTGTACTTACTGTACTGTACTTAAGTACTACTACTGTAAGCAAAAAAAAGGGGTTTTGGAGGCGGGGGAGGTGTCTTTCGCTGGAAGACTTGCCCCCTTCTACTTTGAAAATACCTGTGAAACAGGTTTCATTCGTCACAGCCAGCACTCCCGCAGAGAGTGATAAAAACTGCGCATCGCCAGGCAAATGCACATTAATATGTTGGGCTTTTGGGCTCGGGTGGATTTGCACCCTACAGTTCAACCTGCGGTACCGCTGTGTACTGTACATACAGTACGAACATGTGTTATTTTGAAATATAAAAAATGTCAATATACTGTAGGAGAAATTGAGTATTGGTGTGTATTTTTTCTTTAAAATACCAATAATACAGTTTACATAATATGTTTATGTTCCTAAACTAATATCGTTTATGACCTTTATGACCTTCATTATGCTCCTCTGCATTTTATGCTTAGCTACTAAAATTTCCCTTTAATGGTAAAATTCCGTATAAATATTCAATACTAAGCGGATTAAAATGTGCACAATAAAGAGATTAAATGATTAAATATTTTCACTAATGACCAATACACCACATTATCTTCCGCGTCACATTAACATTGGAATGTTTTTCTTACATGTGTCAAAAGAAGAGATACACAATCTGTCTCCTCTATAACTGCTCGGTTTACAGAGAAATTCCGCCAGAGCCTCACAACATTGTCCAATAATACTCTTCTTGGGTCTAATTTTTAGTTAAGCAGGATTTGAGCTACAGACCATAACAGACCAAAAAACAGAATCCACCTGCGATTCACGTGTTAAAAAAACGTGTTTACAAAGAAAGTGAAATACAGTAATACTACCAGCTATATAGATACATAGATTTAGATATTTAGATCCTTAAATTAATATCATTATTAATTTATTTAGATCTGTGATTACATATTCTCGATTATAAAGCAGATAAATCCGGTCCTGGAATCTGACTGGCTGACACCCTTCTGAAGCGGTACAATAATCTCTGGTATACGGACGCCCCTGAAATTTTACTTTTTACTGTGTGATAAATTTTAAAGACTACTTCTTAGCGTAGATAAGAAAGCATAGATAAAAAAGCTTGGATTCTCATTAATCTGGTACAAGTCTCATTTAAAACGTTTTTGTGCTCTTGAGGATCCTTGTGATATTTTGAGCTCTGGTTGAATGATAAGTGTCACAGTTTAAATAATTTTCGTTGTTAGAAATTATGAAACGCTCTGTTAAAAGCAAGGGTTTTTTATGTATGTTATACTAAAAGAAAATGCCAGACGAATTTGGGATTAGACAGTTTTTACGTGCTTGTACAATCGATGGAAATGTTCAAATAAATGTGCTAAAGAAATAAACAAAAAAAAGTAATTTATTCCTTTATCCTATTGGCTAGCTAATGTCCTGTCCTCGTTAGTTAGATCAACGAAATGCTGTGGTGTTACTTTTTGTCGATTAAAAAATAAAGTATTTTCATTTGAAATGACGGTTACAAATAATGTGGACCACCGTAATACTTTGGGTTTACAGCTTGTCCAAGGTCATTCATTATTAATACTATTAGTAATATCTTCGGTAAAGGCTTTGATGCATAAACTATTACTGCATGATTAAAATATTTATGATAAAGGTAGGTTGTGTACTTTTGCCCAGCTGAGCAATCTTGCTTTCATAAAATATACCAACTTTTTAATGACTGATGATTAACATGCTGTAATACACAGTTTAAATTTAAAAGCTCAAATGCTGTACATGAGAGGTTAAGCTTTATTGGCTCCCCCTGGCAGTTTTACAAGGTGATTCCGGATACTTTCCGGCATGACGTCAAATGATGCGTTACACCGCGTGATACTGCGTTTTCATGCGACACGCCCATCGGGGTGTACCGCGAAATACCCCACGCGTTTTGAATGGCTGCATCTGTAGGTGACACTTTTGGTGTGTTAGATGTCAGTGAAACTTTAGATCCATTTCTTTAATTTAATATTTAATATAGAGTCATGTAATAAAGGTAAATTTTGGTAGCTAAAATAACCATCCAAAATTAAGCATCAAATTCTTTAATTTAGATCACTTACTGTGGTGACTTTGGAAAAGTCTTGACATGCTGACAGCAGTGTTTCCCATGAATACTTACTGTCATTATGTTTGGAAAGACTTAACGTGCTTGTTTTAACTACATTTCCCATGAACTTTCCCATGAAGGTTCAAATTAAAAACAATAAACAACATATACTTGAAGAAACATAAATATAATAAGTACTTATAAACCATCATGGCTGGGTGGGACCTGCAGGACCCAAGGAAGCAAAATCTTGGATTTCTCTGGGAGAGATGTAGGTGTTTTGGGCAGCTTCACAATCAGTTTTTCAGAGTAGTTTCTACTGGGTTTGTCTCGTGTTATATTGATATTATCTGTTCCTTCTCTGATTGATTAACTTCTTAATTACATATCCCGTCAAATGGGAAAATGTTTTTTTTTCTCATATGCTTTTGCACAGGAGCTTATATATGTATTTATCTAAAATAATATTTTAATTGCATATGTTTTGTTTGGTTTGTATTACACAAAATGAGGAATATTATCTAATTTGCACAAATTGTATTGTACCGCAATACTTTTTGTGACATCTTAGTTAACAGATGCTTAATTGTTTAATCTAAAAATGTGGACGTGTTGCTTAAACCAGAAACAATTCGATTTTGCTTCATGAATCCAAAAATCCAAAATTTTGGTAACATGTTTCGTAAAGTTACTGAGGAATTTCCCTTACTGCCCCTTCTCGTTGTAATATAGTAAACAATGTGTTGATTTTTTCCCTAGACGTTTTGTTATTGTTTTTAAGTATACAGTACAGAAATGCAGGAACAAAGAACAGAAATGTATAAAGAGAGCATTTTATGAAAATACTAAAATCGTTTCAATTATTGTCTGCACTTTGCTTTTCAGGGTTTTTTCCAGTTCTGTAATGAGCTGCAGCCATTCTTTTTGAGAAGCAGTAACCACACTTTCCCAAAACAGTTCAATAATTACGACAACACATTTTTTATTTATAATATGCTGTTTTTTAGTGTGTTTTTCACTAATTTTCTTCAGTTTTCTTCAGTGTTTTTTTATTCATATCGTTTTATTTCAAAACTCGTCTTGTTTGTTTGGTTTCACTTCCTCTACAAAGCAATTATAACATCAATAATTTTTACTATATTAATAATTCTATTCATTTCAAATATCACAATATAGTAAATATTACATTGATATTCATAATAAATGTAGTAATAACATGGATGACCCCCCGTAGTGTAGAGTTACTGAATGAAAACCAGTTTTAGCAGTACTTGACTTCTAAACCAACAATGTTCAGGATGCTCGGAAAGAGTAAGGGAATTTAAAGATGCCCTTAAACACAGATCGCTACTATATTTTTTACATGTATACTTACTTTTAAATATTAATTTTTAAAGCCACTATTATAGTCTAATACATTTTTATATCTGGATTTGTTGGGGTTTTTTGTTGCCATGAGTGGTGGATATAATTAGTTTTTATAATCATTTGACTTGATTGCATGGTTATAGAATAGTTTGAAATCCATAAGATTGGCAGCCGATAATCAATTGCAGTGAATCTTATTTGGTTTTTGGTAGCAGCCTGTGACAGCTAAGCGAAGCTGTGCCTCCTATAAACTGCACAAATAATGATTTCTGATTTTCTCTTAAAAACCAAAAAAATAACTGCCCAGCACGGCTCTGACATGGATGTGTGATACAAACTATTGATACCCAGTCCAGCAGCACTGTCGATTTTAAAATATGCATTTACTTGCAAATTCACTCCTCTCTGTGTCATCTCCTGGAAAACTGTCTCAATGTGCAATATATTAGTGTTCCATTCAAAGAATTAAACACTCAATTTGGGGATAGGGAAACATGGTTTCCCAAAGTCCCCTATAACTGTACTTAGCACTACAAATGTAAACTGTGCTTTAGCATCTTAGTGTTCACTTATGCTTTAAGTACTCAGTGTTCAATAATGATGGATGGGGACTTGTATGCTCACCAGTAAGTAGACCAGTTAGTATCTCAAAGATAGGGTGAATAAGATATATCTGATAAACTGCACACCACAAGATACAGTACTAGAACAGGTGCAGTTTAATATTTGATCTAGCTTTCTTGTTTCAGTCTACAGTTCAAATCTGAATATATCAGTATGGCCCAGCTGTATGTGAAATGGGATACTTTAAACAGGACATCAAAGTGATGCTGAACAAGGCGAACTCTTCCTGAAAAGATCTTTAACATATTTAATTGCATAACAGTTCATAGCTTACCTGACATGATTGCTGCAGAATTTAGTTAACTGGGGTTGGTTAATAAATATCAATCTCCTGTCTTCTTGGTCTGCTAAAGATGTTTTTTCTGAAGTGTCTTCTGTCTTCTCATAGCCTGAAATGGGAAGTAAAACCAGAAAATAATAGTACGATTTCAACTTGGGCACAATAAAAACGTGTGTGAAATGTGTTTTTTCTTGGCTTGTCTTATATTCAGCTTTAAAGGTTCCTTCCAATCCAAGCAACATAATTTGCAGGAAAGTCTCTAAAGGTTAACAATCAATTGACAGTATGTAGTTTGCTAGGCAGATACACGTCTGTGATTATTCACTTGGTGAAATTTAACTGGAGCTTTGTGAGAGAGTTTCTTGTCCTTTTATTAAATAATCACATTCATCTTAAGTATACAAAAAAGAAAAACAAAACTTTAAAAACATTTATCTCTTCTTAATTGACCGATTTGATTCAGATCTGGTGAGTGAAAAGGTAATGTCATAGGGATACCATATGTTATCTGTGTCATAGTCATCAAACTACTGGGCAAGCACATGTACTCTGTGGATGTGGACATTATCACTCAGTACCATGAAGTAACCATTGTCATTAATGTTGCCTTCTAAGGGAATTAGAAATGAGTACACCCAAACCATGCCAGGAAAATGCACGGCACACCAAAACAAGACCTACATTTTCAAAAAAGTGCATAAACCAGCAAAGTACAACAAACTTAAATTACGTCAAATGAATTCTGAATTCGTCCATTCAGAATGCGCAGGGAATAATGCAATACTTTGTGGTTCAGGTGCTGTGTTTTCTGCACCTTTTTAAAAATACTTGTGGGAGTGCACTACTTTGTTAAACCGCCAGGTAGAGCAGTGAAAGCTTAACATGGCATTTGAAGCATTTGGGCTGTCGCCAGAAAACACCTGGTTTCAAATCTTGGTCAATGCTTAGGGACACTCTTTTTCCAATGACAGAATTTAAGTTGTATACTGTGTAGACTTTTATTAATTTTAAACTGTGTATTAGAGCATGTTAAAAGGAATTGTAATGGATTTGTGTTCTAGGGCTTGTGCCCTCGCCACTCTCACCCTAGTTCGTGCCTCACTGCATTGGCTCGAACCCAGGTCTGAGATTTGAAGTTGCAATTCTGAGTTTTTAAGTCATAATTCTGAGATATAAAGTCACAATTGCGAGATACCATAGTGCGTTTTTTTTTACTCCCTAGCGGAAACCGGCTTCCATACACAGTAGATGGTTGTGGTAGCTAAATATAAGAAAGTACACAACAGAATTCCACTCTCTTCATAAATATTTCATGTATCAAAGTCTTTAACGTGGTGACTTACAGTGTGTTATGGAAAAGTTTTAATGTGCTTGCTCTAACATTTACATAACATTATAAAGATTATATGCTGTACTTTAAAAAAGTTATAATGTTTTATTCTTTTCAAAGAACACACCACTTGCTGTAATTGGAAAAAGTTATACTGATTTAAAACCACTTGATAGTTATATTAATATGGAATCGTGTAAATAAGCAGCTAAAACTATCACAAGTGGATGTTTTAGAAACATTTTGACATTTGTTTTTTCTTTGTCATTATAATGGTAATGGACAAAGGACTCATGGTAAAGTAGTGCACTCTACCCAGATGGTTGAAAGCCCAATCAAAGCATTACTTTTGATTTGTTTCTAACATAGCTGAATACATAATAATAGTTCAGGTGGGTAGCTGCGTCAGCATGCGTAGGCTGCAATGGAACAAGTAATAGGTTTATTCCATGCTGAAAAAAAGAAGAAAGAGAACAAAACGTTTCGGCCGTGGAGCCTTCTTCAGGTGTGGAGCCTTCTTCACCTCTTTCAGGTTTACATCCAAATTGAGAAAATCTATATTTTGTCTTAATCCAAATTTCAGCAATGAGTAATCAGCCAAAAATGTATGTTTAAATTTAAAACTTTAAAGCGTATATTGTACTGTACAGTACTGCACGCTCCAAAGACTTACTGGGAGCATTTCTGGCAAAATTGGCTCCCACATGAGTTTGTCTATCTGGATTAATTATTATTCAAAATGCATGATACAACCCCGTACCACGCGAAATTACCCAAAGTTCACCCCGTTGTACCGCAGTAAGTGATTTGGCTGGCCAAAATGACCGACAGGGGCACTTAAAGGGAAATTTTAGTAGCTGAACATAAAAGGAAGAGAAGCATAATGCATCGGAAGGCCATAAACGATATTAATTTAGGAACATAAACATATTATATAAGCTGTATATGGCTGGTATTGGTAGTTTAAAAAAATACACACCAGTATTCCACTTTCTTCCTAAATATTTTAAGCATCAAAATCTTTCAATCGGTTACATACTGTTTTGTTAAATAGTTTTTTGTGCTCCTTCTGACTATATTAAGTTTATATACTTCATAAAAAGTAATAATGTTTATATGAATATTTGAGCTCGTTATCGTAATACGTTTAGAATTTGAAAATTTGTATTATATATGTATTTATATAGCTGGTAGAATTACTGTAATCCACTTTCTTTGTTAACACGTTTTATTTTTAATTTGACTCATCCACGCATAATGAATTGTGAGAGAGTGATAGATGGAGACAAGATGGAGGTTCTTGACAAAACTACATTCCCCAGAATGCAGTGGGAAATAATGTGCCACACTCGGTCACCTGACCAGCTGATGCACTGCATCAGAGAGAATGACTGAAGGATTAGCCCATTAAGAGTGAGTTCATAAAGCCAGAATTACGCACTATACTATTAATATACTATTACGATAAGCACATTGTTTAATGGCGATGACATTACCCATGTCTATATCACTGTACAACACAGGTTTGAGTCGGAGTGTCTGTAAATAAAACAGCGCCTTCAAATACATATAACTACTGCATGATTTCTTTATCCGTTTCAGCTAAATGAGGGGAATTAAATCAGTCCGAATTTTGGAGTGCCAATTGCAAACTCATCAAAGCAATTTACAATTTCTGGGAGGAAGAGCCGACAGAACAAAGTTGAACAGTTTTATTAACAGGCTGTTTCGTGTTCTTCCTAAGATTGTTGAGCGCAGTGGGGGATATTCGGGAATGTGATTTCACAGATGCTTTTGTTTTGTCTTGCATTGTCAGATTGCGTATCAATAAAAGCATTTAATTAACCATGTGTTTACAATTTTAATAAAAAATAAATTAAAATAGTATGAAAATATCTTCTCAGCTACTGGCCCGCTGGGGGGTAATGGGGACTCTTCATTATAAACATAAATGTAGAGTCCTAAAATAAATACACAGTAATAAATAACATGTTCTGCATTTACCTTTTTCTTAAGTGACAGACAAAAAGCAGAGCAATGACTTTCTCTGCAAGCTAGTAGAAGAAGTAAGTCGGTGACTCAAAGCTTGAAGCTCAGCAGCAACAAATAATTAATACAGTGTGTATTCTCCTGTCACTGTATAAAATAGAACAATGTAGAGTACATAACGTGGTTATGTATCAGTCATGTTTGCAAAAAGCTGAAGAAGGCTTCAAAGCCAAAAAGTTGTGTTTTCTCTCTTCTCTTATCGGCATGGAATAAACCTATTACTTGTTCCTTAACAATGACAACATTCCATGAAACTAAAAATTCTTTCCCAACACCCAGAACTGTTCTGTTCTATTCTATTCCATTACACAGTGGGGTGTTGAAAGTCCTAGCCTTTGTGAGAAGTACGGAGCTGCTTTACATAAGGTAGCTGCAATGGAATATACTGGTATCTAAAAGTTAATTACAAGCTGGCAAGAAAAGACACAATTTATAGATGTCTCCTCTATAAATTTTCAGTTTACAGACCGTCCAAGGTAATTTATGATGAATAATATCTTCCATATCACATTTACGCTTTTTACAGGCGTAAATCCACCTATTTTCTAACCGCTTTATCCAGGACAGGTAACAGTTTCACCCCTCCCCCTTCCCTCTGCCTGTTTCTTTTAAGTACATTGCTGTCAATGTTGTAGCAACAGACAAAATGAAATGCTTGGAGTTTATAATGTAAGGCTCTCTGAATGAGTTAAAACTTTGCTGCAGGTCAAACAAATGTATTTCCCACAAGCTATACTGTAGTGGCAGTACGGTAGTAGTTTGAAATTATTCATTGTTTTTAATAAATCACTTAGCTTAGAACATGTGGTGATATTTATAAATATTATAAATGTCTATGTAGTGTTAATAATATTAGCTATTTTAGTTTTTCAAATAAATGTTTTTCTTTTAAAGAAATCTCACGGTGACTGCTGGGATCAAACCCCCAACCTCCAGCATGCAAGGCAACCGCCTAAGCCATTATGCCACATACATAATCACTTGGGAATGAGTTAAAAAGACATTTACAAAGGCAGTGTACTACTGCAATCATTTGAGCTATATGAATATAATTATACCGTTATCAAAACTTACTTTGTATGATTGGAAACGAATACATGATCGGATCAACTAAATGCTTCAAAGAAAGAGGCGCTCTTTTCATTTGGTTTAACAGTCTGTGGAGTACCAAAACAATCAGTTTAAACAAGAGAGTGTGGTGTTACTTTTTGTCAATGAAAAAATAAAGTATTTTCGTGACGCAACAGTTAAACTGATGCAGACGGTTACGAAGAAAGTGGACCACAGTAATAATTTAAACTTTCAGCCTGTCCAAGGTCATTCATTATTAATACTATTAGTTACATCATCCGTAAAGCCTTTGATGCATAAAATATTTCTGCATAATTAAAATATTTATGATGAAGGTGGAAGGTTGTGTACTTTTGTCCAACTCAGCAATCTTGCTTTTATAAAATATATTGACTTTTTAATGTTTAATGATTAACATGCTGTTATACAAAGTTTAAAATGATTAAAAGTCTAAAGAGTATACAACTTAAATTCTTAATTGGAAAAAGTTTGTCCCTCGGCAGTGATCGTGATTCGAAACCGGGCGTTTTCTGGCGATAGATCAAATGCTGTACATGAGACGTTAAGCTTTATTAGCTCCACCTGGCGGTTTTACAAGGTGATTCCGGATACTATTATCATGATTTCTCGATTAATAAGTTCTTCACGGAAGTTTGAAG